GGTGGGGTATCTGTAATGCTTTCAACAATACAGATAAATTCAAACAAACAAAAACCCAGGTGAACTTGAAGGTCATCCGGGCTTTGAGAAGCTGCAGTTTAAGGTTTACTCTGCTCTAAATATACCAAAACCGTAGCCACACACACAACAGAGTTCAATTCCAAAGTCAAAGTTTTCCTTGAAAATAGATTTAATCTTATTCAAATTAGAAATGTTCTGTGTCTCCAAAACCACCTCCAAACAAAGTTACCTTCTTAACAAATGAAAATTTTCCAGGGGAAAGTTTTTTAAGATAGTAAAAGGAAACTTCACGTTTCTTTAATGTCAATCCATCAAAAGGCACATAATCAAAAAATGTCATTTGACCTGTCCAGGAGGGGTCAGGGGGAGGGGGAGAATTGCAATCACCGCTGTCATATGAAGTCCGAAAAAGTTCTTATCTACCCATGTCAGTTAACACTGCTGTAATAGGCAAAGGTGAATGACTCTCAAGGGCAAGGAACAAAAAAAGAGGATGGGAGACACCTTATGAGGTACCCGCCCTTGGCCAGAATCAAACCCGGGACCCTTCAGTCTGAGGGCCGACACGCTAACCACTGAGCACAACTGGCTAGGGCCTAAATTCTTTATAAGTACTAATTAACTCTTTACATAAAATGTTACCTCTGGTTAAAAATAACGCAGTAGCCAGTCTGTACTGATTGCCTACCCAGGACGGGCACTGTGTAAGTACTTCAGTACTTCTCTTGTTCCCCCACCGCCAACCTGGGAGGCATTTGCTATTATCGTCCCCTTTACCCAGGCGGCCAGGGGTATATCTGGTGTTTGATCCCGTGCTGCCTGACCACACACTTAGCCGCGTTGTTATGCAACATCTCTTAAACTGCCATTGTATCTGGAACCCGTACCACAAAACAAATGGACAGCTGTCTGGAGAATGCTTTAGAAAAGTCAGTCTTGGCTCATTGACTTTAAATGAATAGGAGGGGCTGTTATATTGGGGAGAAGCGTTAAGCGGCTTCAGGGTCTTGAATGCCATCGCACTAGATTTGTTCATTTCCCTTTGGTTTAAAACTTCCAGGGATGGGGTAAAGAATGACATCCTGTTTTTCTAGTGAGCAAAAGAAATCTAGACAGATGCACACAAGAATAAACTTTCATAGAGACTGCATTTTAAATAAAAATTGGGAAATCTGCCAACTGCATTTTATCAAAGGCAGAGTTAAGGACTGGTCACTTGTATAAAATATGGCCATTTTAATAATTAGCACTCATCTGAGATATCTGGCAAAGAAAACACAGAAGTGTAAAGATAAGAACAAAGTGGTGAGCCACACTGTCTTTCTGTAATACATTATTTAACAGATTTCGTATAAATAAATATTACAATTTCTTACTTAAATGGCCTCTCATATTTCCCTGGCATTAGATGTTTCTTGGTCAAATTTTANTATGGCCTTCTCTCATATTTCCCTGGCATTAGATGTTTCTTGGTCAAATTTTAGATGTGGGGCCCATCTGGTATATAGAGTCTATGCTTTCTCCAGTGCTTTGTATCACATTCCAGAACACAAAGGGGATGCCATTTGGAGCAGCACCTGTTACACAGGCTATTGCCTCAGGTGCAGGCGTTCCCGTGGTAACAGGTTCTCCCACCCTTCACTCTGTGCTCCAAGGCAACTTTAAAACGCCTGTTACACTTCTTGATTGTGTTGAATTCCATGGTGTGCTAAAAAACTTTTCTTAAACATCCCAGTTTATTTACAATACAACATATTTTTGCATCCACTTAAAAGCTTCAGCCTCTAGTTGTGTTTGAGAGAGAAGAGTTTCAATTACCTCAAAGACCTTAAAATAATNCCAGTTTATTTACAATACAACATATTTTTGCAACCACTTAAAAGCTTCAGCCTCTACTTGTGTTTGAGAGAGAAGAGTTTCAATTACCTCAAAGACCTTAAAATAATTTTTTTAATGAATCGATTTTTAAAAAATGGTATGGGGTTGCCCTAGCCGGTTTGCTCAGTGGTTAGAGCGTCAGCTCGTGGACTGAAGGGTCCTGGGTTTGATTCCATCCAAGGTCATGTACCTCGGTTGCAGGCTGGATCCCCAAGTAGCAAAATGTGGAAATAACCCATATATCCATTCAGGCATGACTGCAGAAACAAAACATGATACACTCATACAATGGAATATTATTCACCTTTAAAAAAGGATATTCTGGCACATGCTACAACATGGATGAACCTTGAAAATATTACGTTAAATGAAATAGCAAGGCACAGAAGTGATTCCACTTAATTGAGGTACCTAGTGTGGATAAAAAAAGGGGAAATTCTATGGAAAGTAACCTCACAGGTTGATCTAATCGTAAATTCCTAACTGTGCAGGTCATGGTGGGTAGTCATGCCCCAGGCATATAACTTCTTTAGTGAAAGGTTGTAAGCCAGCCCTGTTCATTGTTCTTGTGCATCTAGGTTACACGCCTTTTAAATGCCAGAAGTAATACCCTTGAAGGGGGTATTAACCCTCAAGAGNATAGCAAGGCACAGAAGTGATTCCACTTAAGTGAGGTACCTAATGTGGATAAAAAAAGGGGAAATTCTATGGAAAGTAACCTCACAGGTTGATCTAATCGTAAATTCCTAACTGTGCAGGTCATGGTGGGTACTCATGCCCCAGGCATATAACTTCTTTAGTGAAAGGTTGTAAGCCAGCCCTGTTCATTGTTCTTGTGCATCTAGGTTACACGCCTTTTAAATGCCAGAAGTAATACCCTTGAAGGGGGTATTAACCCTCAAGAGAGCACATACTCTTATTATCCTGTAATCTGATCCCTGCCATGCTTTCCCCAGTCTTCTTAATTTCAAATGCATAAAAGAAACTGCAGGCCTGACTGGTGTGGCTCAGTTGGTTGGAGAATCGTCCAGTGTAATGAACGGTTACGGATTCAGTTTCTGGTCAGGGTACATACCTAGGTTGTGGGTTACATCCCAGGTCAGGGTATGTACAGCAGGCAACCAATGTTTCTCTCTCACATCCTTGTTTATCTCTCTCTCTTCTCCTTTCCCCCTTCCTTCCTCCCCTCCACTCTTTCTAAGAATCAATGGAAAAAATATCCTGGATTAACAATAACAACAGAAACCACCAGAAACTGCAAAACTGTTATTCTCTGGAGCATTTTGGATCTTGTTCCATGGCGTATGTCATCAGTTTGGCTCAAATAAACTCATAACAATTCTCTACAGTTTTGGATGTTTCTTTTGTCGATACTAGAATAGTCAAATTTAGAGACAAAGTAGAAAGGTGGTTGCCAGGGGCTGAGGGAAGGAAGAATGCAGAATTATTATTTAATTGGTACAGAGTCTCAGTTTGGGAAGATGAAAAGCTCTGAGCATGGATGGTGGTGATGGCTGCACAACAGTATGAATGGACTTAACGCCACTGAACTGAACGCTTAAAAATGGTTAAAAGACATTTTTATGTTACAGATGTATTACTACAGTAAAAAAGATTATGCATCTGATTGTGCTTCTAAGCTTATCAATTTAATCCTAAGTAGAAATTAATTTATAAATTCGCAGGAACCTTGACTCCATTTTTATCAAAAGAATTAAAAACATGCACAGAAAAAGGTGATGTGGGAAGGAACATGAGGTAATGATCTTTTTTCTAAAAGGCATTTTCAACAATGAGTTTGTTTATGTAATAAAAAAGGGAAAAAACACGTATGTTTCTGGGGAATTCTTAATTATGTACATTAATATTTAATATATTTTCTTTATTTAAAATGTTTTCACAAACTGTCATTTAAATCCTGACATTAGATGCAAGTAAAAATCATTTAAGTAAAAGTCATTAGAGGAAATTTCTTTTTTTAACCCTCACCTGAGGATATTTTTTCCACTGCTCTTCAGAGTAGAAGGGAGGGAACAGAGCGAAGCACAGATGTGAGAGAGACACAGCAGGTGGCTGCCTCCAGCACCCCCTCACCGGCCGGGGGATTAAGCCTGAAACTGAGGTCCGTGCCCTCGGCCAGAATCGAACCTGGGACCCTTCAGGCCACCAGCCGATGCTCTAACCACTGAACTAACCGGCCAGGGCTGAAGGGAGTTTCTTAAATGAAATCTCGAGGAAAGCGAGTGGAGGAAGACAATAATCCTTAACCCGGAGGGCGGAGGCAGGCGCAGTTTCCCGTTTGAGCCTTTCCTCCTTTGGTTAAATCAAATTCTTGTGTAAATGACCGCTTTGGGTGGGCTCCGAGAAAGGCTTGGGCGGCAGGAATCCTGACTGCGGGAGGCGGGAAAGGGGCGCTGCAAACTCCCCCCTCCCCGCAGAACCCACCTACCCCTTCCTTGGGGCCAGTGCTCGGGGCACTGCCCCCCATTCCAGATTCTTCAACA